CAAGTGACTTATTTCACTTTTTAGTATTCGAATAGCATACTAAATTAATTAATGCAAAAATACTTTGGCAATAAATGATTTATTGAATTATTTTTCAAATTATTATTGAATTTAAGTCATATTAGTTTTTAGCTAGTTAACATCAAAATACTTTTTTTAATTAAAAACTATAAATAAATCTATAAAAGTTGAGCAAAATATCTTAAACAATAGAAAATGTCTAAGTGCGCTCTTCCCTATTTTGTTTCTCCAGATTTGCTTAACATTAAGTAATCGTCTAATGGGTTGTTATCAGCAAGCGATTAGCTAACGCTTTTGTGGAGTTATTTTCTTAATCTCAATTATTATATCATTTATTCAAGAGAAATAATGTATGCTAAATTTTTTATATTATACCTGTAGTTATAAAAGAGTATTTAGAAGATTCCCAAGATTATTCTCTTGAACACCAAACAGTCTATCGTTAATTACATGTATAGATATAACAGATGGTCCTGTGATGTACATTTGTAATGAAATTCGTATAATAAATGACATGATTTTATCATATAGCACATAGTTGTTTAAACTGCAACAGTACTTATCTTAATTTTTGTAGGCCTTTAGGATGATCAGAAAACAAATTCGAATTATACATGATTTAATACAATACGAATCCCCCAAACGATATACAACAAATATGTTCTAAAAAACTTAATTTATCATTATAAATAAAAATCTCATTATGTCAATTTTCGAGATACGCTCTGTTGTCTCTTCTCTGGATAAATATATTTAAAATTTTATTTATGATCAGCTTCAATAAAAATATATCATTAGAATCTATTTCTATTAATGTTATACACTCATTTTGGGAAGCCTTATATACACCCAAAAATCAATTTTAACACAATATGTTAAATATATATTTTATTTTATTTTGTTAACCAAATTACTTTAAACTTACTGTTAAAAGTAAAAAATGCATAGCGATATAAATTTAAAAGTAACTATCGATCATTCATTTTCTTAGATAATTTCCTGATAATTAAGCAAAGTACACATAAATATATAATTAATATTAAAGTTGCCTTATTGAAATTATGTCACGTGAGCATAATTTTAGGAAGTAAAAGCTAATGAAATATTTGTTAAAATTATATTATATAGGAAATAATAACAATTTTGTTGAAAAAAAGGATTTTACTTTTATTGCTGTAGAGTGATAAAATTTTAAAATTGAGTTAGTTGTTATAAATATAAATATGAGAAAAAACAAATTTTTGATTATGGTATATTTTTAGTATTTCCCTTTATTTTCAAACCCGTCATTCATTATGATTTTGTAATAGTAAAAATAAATAGAAGGGATATTCACACATTTTATAAGCTTAAACTTTCTAAAGGGGTGAAATAAAACAAAATTGGTAAAATTAATTTGAAGTTATTTAAAAAAAAAAAGTAAATTTTCTAGTTAATATTGAATATGAATTTTTCCCTTACATAACTCTTTTTTTTTAAAGAAGCTTTTTATCTAGATTGAAATTGTGTCAAATTTGCAAAAAGAATTGAAATATTGTAAACTTTGTAAAAGAATATAAATATCCATGAAGTTATAAAGAGAAAAACTACTAAGTTTTTATACATTTATAATTTTTAGTATAGAATACATTAATGTTCTTTAATATATAGTATAGATGTTTTTAAAGACATATCGTTGTATAATGAAAACAATGAATGAATAGACAGAGAATAATGGATCACTTTAGGGATTTTGGCATGACATTAGAAACAGCGTGGATAGGCATACAGCATGTTTAGTATGTCACGGGTACTAGCTAAACTATGTCTATATGAAATGAAAAAATGATACTTCGTAGTACTTAACTAAAGAATGAAATAGTAAAATATAAAAAAAAATCGTATTTGATATTTTGTAAAATATAGATGTTTATACAGATATAACTAATATTATTTTTTCGAAAAATTCTTATAAGATCTTTTAAATAGGGAATATATCGTTTGTGTAAGTATAATTTGTCCTTTGCTATTAGTCCTCTTATACTTTATAATTCATTTTAAATGTTTGAATTTAATTTACAAAATTTCAAGTATTTAAATAAAATGAAATCTTTAATATACTTTTAGTATTCTTCAGACCAAGAGTTTTACATCTATGTTATTTTTTTATAATAATATAAATAATCTTTAGAATTTTTAAATATTTACCTTTTTCTTAGAAGGAGTCCCATAATAATTTATTCTTAGACAGTAATCAAAAAGTTATCAAAACGTCCTTAGAGAAAACGAGCTTCAACATACTGTAAATTAGACATAATTTGGACTTATGTATACTATAGATCTAATTATAATAGTTATAACCCGGTCTAAATAATATATAAACCTGGGCACGTTTTTGAATATTCAGTGGATGAACTATGCTATACAAATATGTAATAGTGAGCTGCTTAAAGCTATACAAAAATATCGTTTAACACCTTTTTTTTTTTTTGTCAACATTTCCTATTATCTATAGAATATAGAATGTTAAGTACTACCATTTACATAAGTCTATAATAATAATAATGAAACCATGGTAGCAACAAATTTAATTAGTTACTATTGGTAACTTTATTGAAATACAGTGTTTATCAATTGTAAAAAATATGTGACTAATTAATCAACAGATAAAATATAAATTTGTCATGTACATTAGTTTATTTTAAATGTTCCGTAAAATTAAATTTTAGTAAATAGGTATCAATGCTATTTTCCTCAGTAATACAAAAACACTAAATGTAAAATGAGATTTAAAACTATTTTTTTTACTTTTTTTGTATCACTTAAACAGTATTAAAAGTTTTATTATATTTAGTAACAAAGATACAACGTATATCATTCGAACTTTTTACTTAAATAGAAGTAGAAAATTGTAAAATTATTTTGACCAAAAGATTTTTTCTGTCTAAATTTTTGCTACACTTCTATAATATTTTTAACTAATGGACAATATACGTACCATAAAATTATTCATAAATAATAAGTTTCTAATATATTTTTAAATATAAATACCATAACATTTTCTGCCATATTTTATTTTAATCTTTCAATATTTATATATCAACAGTTTTTTTGAGTATAAGGAAAAGTCAAAAACTGTAACTTTTTCAAAAAAACTAGAACCCCTGAATTTTTTTACAATATAGTAAATAGGACTTTTTAAATTCAAAGCACAATAAAAAATATAACTCAATTAAATATAGAAGTAGTAATGCAATGGAAAAATTCTAATAAACGTGATGAATAACCTAAACATGACAAAATTTGACATGATCTCACAAAAACTATCCATAAATAGTAAAAATGCAAAAATGTGCTTTTAGAAAAGATTTAATTAGATCAATAGATATTTTCTTTATCAATACTATTTAAAAACTCTAATAAATAATAATAAAATTGTTGTTAAATATTATATAAAATTAAGTTTACAAATTATATAATTAAAGGTATAAATTAAAGCGAATTAATTATTTTCAATTAAATATTTTATTCAAAAAATGATAGAACAATTGTTTTTTTGTTAAATTTAATCATATTTTTATATTTTATAATTAAATTAAAACAAACAAAACAAAAAATTAAAATGTAAACAATTATATAATAGTATTGGTAATTTGCTAGGAGAAAACAAGTTTACATAATGTAAAATAAAATTGCATACACCAAAAACATAACTTGAAATAAAAACAATTATAATATATCTAAAAATATACAGGAATGATTGACTACAAAACCATAATAAATATAGTTAATACTTCTGAATAATAAAGACAAAAAATAATCAAAAAAAATCAAAATAAAATATAAATAATTTAGTGGTCATTAGGTTAATTGTTTTTAAAAAAATTAAATAGAATAGTGAAAAACATTAACTAATTAAAAAAAAAAACAACAAACCTAGACAAACTTACGGCACCTAAACAATTGTTTACAAAATATTTTTTAATAGACTACTATTTATGTTATACAAGTTTCTACATTAAGTCTTCAAATATGGCTATTTATTTATTATTATTAATATAAATTATAAATACATTTTTCTTTTTAAAATTTACTTTTTTTAATTAAAATCCCTAAGAAAAACCCATACTCATTTTCTTTTTACATTATGCTAAATCTTACTCTTAGCAAGTAAAAAATCCTGAAGTCTTTTTTATTAGCTGATACATTAAAGCGAGGTACACATAAAATAAAAGTTTTTTAGTTATATATAAAAATAATAATGATGAATCAGAAGATAATTATTAATAGTTTTTTAGATTATATAATATATAACACAGATAACTTATGAAAAAAAAACTATTGTAAAGAACATGATAATGATTAGTGATTTTGTGTATAAGTTGTGAACATATTTAACATCAAATAAAAAAAACACATTTTTATTATAAAAACTTCATTGCTGGTAATACATTTTCCAGCCAAATTGCAATAATTACCAATCACATCACTATCACTAGATTAATGATTTATGACATAATGATAGTTAACATAAGCCTAAATTGGCCAGTTATTGCTCTAGATAACATCAAACAACCTTAAGACAACTTTCACCTGTAAGTTTAATTTGGTCAAGATAGAGAATTTTCTTAAACCTAAGTGTCAAAAACTGATTATATAAAATAATAAAAAAAAATTATGTTGGACAACTTAAAGAAGAAAAATTGATCATTTACCAGATTATCAAAAAAAAAAAAATAGAAAACTTTTAAAACCAAAACATAAATAAAAGTTGATTATTATAATATCCACTACAAAATGTATTATGCAATCAAGCATAGTAAATTTTAGTTAATATACTCCTAGTTTGTTATTATTTAACTATTTCTACAATGGTTGTGAAAATAAATAATTACAATATTGTTTAAAAATTAATACAATAGGGGACAATATTAATTTAGTTGTGATTGTTTGTGGCAAATGTGTAGTCTAATATTTATTAATATACATATATGTTTACATATATAAATAATGTTTACAAATAATTAATGGTAAATAAAGAAAATGTAAATAAAGGTTTACCAAATGTTGGTATGACAAGAAAAATTGTAAACTAAAATGACCACAAGATACACATGTATCTACTTAAATTAGAATTTTTCATTCATCGAACATCAGTAATGTTGTGCTTGGAACCAAAAATTTTAACTAATTGATTTTCATAATCACCAATGTTACGCTTCATGATCTCCATACATGGGCCCAGAAGTCGTTCGAATGCATCAACATCCAAAACTAAAATATGTTTTAAATTTCATAAATTAAAAATATAAAAAATGTTATGAAATTAATTATAAGATAATTTTACTTTTATACATAATTTAATTAATGAAGTACAAGTTTGACAAAAGAGAACACGAGGTAGGTGAAATAGAAAGTATTAAATATTTAGGGTTAGTGGTGAAAAAGAGTGGTGGTATTGATGTAAGACACAGGATTAAGTGCGAATGGGTGATTTGGAGAAAAGCGTTTTGTGTATTATACGCTAAAAGAATTCCAATAAGGCTGTAAAGTAAATTCTATAAGACTGTAGTGAGACCAGCTATGATGTATGGTTCAGAGTATTGAGTTGTTGACAGGTAGAGCAAAGAATGAGTGTAGCAGAGATGAGAATGCTTAGATGGATGAGTGGAGTGACTAGAGAAGATAGCATAAGGAACGAAAATATAAGGAATATAGGTGTAGCATCAATTGAAGATGAGATGAGAGAAAATAGACTAAGATGATAGTACGAAGAAAGAGGAAACGGAAGCTGTAAAAAGTTATAGAAATGAATGTTGAAGAAAGAAGAAGTAGAGGAAGACCAGAAAAGAGATGGAGGGATGTAATTGAATGCTATATGAGGGGGGCTGATGTTAACATAGATGATGTGGAAGATCATCTATCATGAAGATCATGTCAAGTGGAAGTTTAGGATAACGGTGGCGGACCCCAAGTAGTTAGGATTAAGGCGAGGAAAAAGAAGAATAAGAAGATTCATGATTTAATTTGACACAACTTTTTTTTTATTAAAGTTTCCATTTTCAATTAGAAAATAAAGAATAACTGAAATATATAATTAATTCAATAATTATATATAATTTGAAGAAAGAAAAAAACATTTGTGAATTAAAATATTTCCAAGCAATTAAGATTCTTAAAAATATGGATTATTAGTAAGTATATTAATAGACAAATAAAATATAACAGATAATTTTAATTTCAATATTTTAGAATTAGCTATTGACATTTACTAGCAACTGACTGAAACCCTTTGAACAAATATTTTCTAAATTATGCTACAACCTGTATAAAGTACCACATGAAACATTAAAATTTCTTATTTATCAAACTTTGTACTTTCGTTTCATGTGATTATTTGGCACTATGTTGCAAGAGTTCAGTAGTAGCATAAGTTGGTTACTAAAGTCAGCAGGTGACCCCAAATAATATAAGTATACACAATTCTATTGAAAACACTTATCTACCATGTTGTATAATAGTTTGGATTTGTTAGATAATTTAGCTTTTTTATCTGACAAGTTTAAATAGGCTGGATTTGGGCTAAACTTCTTTCTGGGATTTTGGACATGGTGTAACCATACCACAAAAGTTTTGTAGACTTGAATCAATTACCAAAGCAGGCAGAAATAGGTAATCCCAAATATTTCTTTTACAAATTATATGTACTAATTATATGTATAAAATGAACATTATTTAAGAAAATTATAAAAATAAAATTTGAAGTAAATGCGAAAGTTCTTCTACTTTCAACTTTCAAAATGACACTCCTCATTATAAGTTCTATATCCTTAAAAATTGTTGAGAAAAACTACATCAAAGATAATATTCATGACAGGTTGGTTTGGGTTACATTTGTACTAAATATGTAATAAAATAAATTTTTAGTGAACTAAACCGTATTTGTTCAAAAATATTATTACATATCATTATGCGAGAATTATCATATTATTCATAATTTTTTATTGATGATGATCTTTAAATGGCACTTCCTAAGATATGTTGTACATAGATAGATTGTATTCAAGAATGGAAACATCATCATCCATCCTTATTTTGTAGAATAGGTATTAATTAAATTAACAATAAATTAGTTTTTGTGCTAAAAAAGCTTCAGTTAGTAACTGAATGCCCTATTAATTTTGATGATGTAATTAACTATTAAAAATGATAAAATTACATTATTTTCAATTTATTTACGAGTTTTTTTTTTAAGTTTTTAAGTATTTCAAAAAATAATAACACTAAGCAACTTTTTGCAAGACGTTGACTCAATTAATAAATACTAAATACTTAGAGCTATTAAGAATGTATAGTTAGATAAACTTCATGGATGGGATCCACTCACACCACCCATCCATTTTAAATATATAATTAAATGAACAAATTAAGAAAAAAACTGCTACCTTGAAATTTTATTTAAATCATAAATTAATAAGTGTTAGCATATGAAACAGCCAGAAATAAGGCAAAAAATAACTTGGTGGTTAATTTTGCACAACCACAATAAGTTATACAATAATAATAATATAATTTAACAGTATTTTAACCTTGATATGAAACTAAGAAAGTATTAATTTAACCATGACGCGTTCATTTTTTAAAATAATAATAAATTTACACCTTTACTTGATTTTTCTATTATATCCTAATTTCATTAATATTGAAAATTGAACTATATACTTACATGCTACTTTAACTTTACCAGATGCAAAAACAGAAGCGGCACGACCTTTATGTGTCACAAGTGCTAATTCACCAAAGTAACCTCCTTTAGCTATTTGATTCACTTTAATTTGTTCACCGGAATCACTAGTGACTAATACGTTTACAATACCTTCTTCAACAAAATACATTCCATCTCCAGGATCGCCTTGTTTAATAATACAGTCATTGTTTTCATAATACTTGGGTATTAAAGCATCAGCTAAGTTCATTCGTTCATATGACTAAATAAATTAATACACAGCTAATATTAGATTATATTAAAGGTAGTCAACAAAATTTCAATTAAATTAACAAGTTAACTTTTATTAAATAATTATACATATTAAATTATATATAATTTATATTATATACATATTATGTTATTATAAATATAATCTTACCTGTAATGCTTTTAACATAGGAACAACATCAATGAGCTCTTCATACATTTTGCGTTTTCTAAATGCACTTTTTAATACAATTCGTCTGAATATTTGACGATCCATAGCCCATAATAGACCATCGGATACAGCTTTGATAGTTGCAGCTCTAGGCATATTATACAACAATGCCAGTTCTCCGAAACTTCCTGTGTTTTCATATGTATGTACAAGACGTTCACTCTCATCTGATTCAATCACATAAGCCTCAAAAATTCCTCTGAAAAATAAAACATAGAAATAAAAGAAAAAACTTTAAAAAAATAATGAAGTTATTAATTATTACCTATCAATGACATAAAAATTGTCACCATCATCACCCTGTTTTATGATTACATCTCCAGTGCGAACTTGACGGTCAAACATAGCATCAATAACATTATTCATTTGTTCCTAAACAAAGGATCGGGTATAATTACAATTTTAGACTCTAAATAACAAAATATTTATTTTAACAGTAAGAAATAGTAATTTTTCAATTTAGGCATGCAAATAAAAATTGATAGCAACTTTAATAAACTCATACTAAATAAAATAATTTTTATACTACTTACTGGGTCCAAAGCTCTGAATATAAATATATTCTTAACACTAGTGGCAAGAGCTTGACGTTGTTCATCAGATTTAGGAAATATAACCTGAAATATGATTCATGAAACAAGATTTCAATTGTATATAACATAAATTTACCTTTGGACCTTCTTCTTCATCATCTTCTTCTGGATTGTAAGTTTCAGCAAACACTGATTTACGCCTAGAAGAGTAGCGTGCTGGTGGAGATTCTAAAATTATTATAAAAATGTTTATACATATAACAAATAAATTGTTAATTTATTTAAAGAAAATATATATTCACTTTCATTACTTATTACCTAAGCAAAACCACCAAGGTTCTAAAAAAGAATCAAAGGATTTAGGACGAATTTTGAATGATGATATTTGTAATAGATCAGTAGATTTAATATTATTGTCACCTTCTATCAAATATGTATTATTTTGTGCATTCATTAAATTATAACATCCCTTTTTGTTCAGTTTAAAGAGTCTAATACAGCTCATTATAAGTACAAAATTATTGATACCATTTAATAATAACACTAACAGTGCCATAATAAAACTGTTACACAAAAGAAAACTAACACATATAAAAAAAGAACAAATCTATTTTTTATTTATTAATTAAATATATTATTAATGAAACTATTGCACTGATTAAAATGAATAATACTTGTTATTATTTATTTTATAAGCAACATGCTGTGAATTAGATCAGAATAATAACATTGAAATCAATATACAAACATTAGCACAAGTTAATAACTAATTAAGATAATTAAAATATTTCCATAAAATAGAAACAAGAAAATAAAAATTGCATTAACAAATTATTACTATATTACCTAATAAATAAATATATTATATTAATTATATTGTATTTTAAAAGGTTTTAAAAGATTAATAAAATATTAAAGAATTGTGTCTATTACCTAATAAATGAACTACATCAAGTAATACCAATATATTTCAATTTAAAAGTATGCAATGCTACTGTTTAAAATATTTGCCTATACAATTATACCTTGATGCCTTACCAAAGATCTTTGATTTATAGCAATGGCTTTATACATTTTATTATTATAAATAAATTTTAAAGGAACCATTTATTGATAAAGTATAAACTAAAATTATAGTTTTAATGATAAAATAGTAGAAATATCATTAAATGTAGTTTTATTACCTATACCTGTAATTACTAAAATTACATACCAAAATCAGAACCATCTGATTCTTCAGATCGGTCTTCAGCACGTTGAACATTTCTAGACTTTTTAAGTTTGTCAAAGAACTCAATTGCATAGTCAATAATATCACTTGGTTGTTCGAGCAGATAACCTATGGTAAGATCAAGGAGTATCTCTCTAAGTTCATCTGGTACATTTAATTTGGTAACATTTTCACTGTTCCCACTCATTATTCCTATGGACAAGTCTTATTAATTAATAATAGTCAAAGAAACTTTTAAATAAAATAAGTTTTTTTTTGTTTTAGTGCAAGCAGAAAATACATTAAAAAAAAAAAAAAAAAGACACTATCCGAAGAGGACAAGGAATGTGCGTCCTTGTAAAATATGAGTTTACTGTTAAGGTGTACTTGACAAGATAAGAACGTGTGTTAAAATAGGAAGGGGCAATAGAAGGCCGGCGTCCTTTATAAGTATCGGTACAGCGAAAAATAATCTTGTGAGTTGCATTCACGTCCACATGAAAACAAATCATACTGCAACAGAACGTTGCAGTATTATCTGTTTTGAGCGTTTCGTTCAAACTAAACAAACGGAGAAACTTACTTTTCAGCTAAGCAAGTGAGACTTCAGTGTTATCGCGGTAGCTTCAACTGTTGTTGTAGAGTAATCAAAAAATTCTTTTAGCGAGAATATCAGAACACCAGCAGCTAGTATGCAAGAGAATGGTAACAAGTTAGGCCGCAACGCGACCACAAATCAAGCAAATCGTCTGCCACATGAAACAGTTGTCATTGCACTTCAAACGATAAAACGGTAGCACTAAAACTGCTTTGTGAACAGAACGGAAGGTGTACTGTTATCTCAACTTATAAATAATTTACGCGACGAGTCCGCTGATGAAAATTATTTTCTACAATTTTATTAGGCTGCAGTCACCGTCATAGACAACCGATCCGCTTTTATCAAGCGATTACATCCGAAGCGCTACCAACGGTGCGCAAAAACACTTTCGTAGCGTGTGCCCATCAGCGACTTAAGCGCTGCCACGCGGTCAAGCTCAATATTTGACCACAACACAGCTGCAATACGCGTCCCGGTTTGCTTATACCATTAGCTGCACCCTCCTCTAATTGTTGTGTATGCGTGTTCAATAACTTCCTTTTCTTCTTCCGCGTGTAGAGCGGCGATACAATTATTGCTATTTGATAAATTGAATTTTTTATATACATTATTAAAATTTCATTTGAAATGTTTAAAGAATAGAGAGAAGACGATTTTTTGTTCTATAGATATTTTTGTAAACATTCAAATAATGTCGTCAGATTAAAATACAAAATAAAAAAAGTGATCTTGTCTCCAAGTAAAAATATCGTAATCCGTGAATCTAATATCCATGAATGTAATTTTGCGGGTTTTTCCTAGTATTTAATGATGTCCAAATTTATAGTATGCAGTGCCAGAACTCTATTTTTACAGTGGGCAGAGAATTGAAATATTGCAAACTTAGCGCTTACCACAAATATGTTATGAGTTAAAAAAAAAAAAATTTAATTTGTAAATTATCCACTGGAACAAAAATTACCAACTATATTAATCTAAATATATACGTGGACGGCGTTTTGCGTCCGTAAACGATATACATTTGCTACCTACAAAAAGTATAAATATGCAAATGAAGATATACTTAAAAAAAATGTTTTAATTATTATTATGACTCGGTAAATTTTAGTAAATGAAGAATAATTATAAATCTTTAATTCATATTTAAAAATATTGAATAAAATAATAATGGTTTTTCTTGTCAACTTTTTATCTAACACGATAAGTAGGGTAAACAAATGTTTCGAGAAAAGCGTTAGTCTTAAGCCGGGTTCCCACTACTCGTGTATTTGCCGAACATTCGCTATTTGTCTTTATTTGTCAAGCAGTGGGAACGGTGTACTTGTACGAATGTTCGTCGTTCGTTCATCGGCAATTGTTATTCGTCATCTTCCCGACGGTTGTCGGTATTTGTGACACGAATCAAAGGGATTATAAATATTTGTCCAAATACGCGATAAGTGGGAACGGTCTCCTCGGCTATGTTTATTATTTTGACGAATATTCGATCAAAATCAATACTTCATTTATTTATATAAATTGTTTTAGTTAATTAATATAATTATTTGTTTTAATTAATTAATTAAATAAATTTTCAATTTTATTATATTGTTATACAGAGTGATTTTTTTACCGCTAGTCAATCAAGTACCTTTAAAATAATAAGTTTTTTAAAAATATATTTTTTTTAATTTTGTTAGTTACAAATGTATTTCTATATACTTGTTATAAAATAATTTTTCGGACCTTTCCTTATATATTATACAGGGATGTCAACTTTATTTGTTTAAACGGCAACATACATATTAAACTAGTTTATAATTAAGAAAATGACTGTCGATAATAATTTTTGGAACAATACTTTGGAAGTTATTAGAATTTTAAAATATAGTACTGATGGTGAAGCGCAGATACTGCTATTTTTATCATTAATCATTCTTCGGTCACACTTCTTCTGACACTTAGATACAAAAAATTAGAATATCTTACAAAGCACTAGTCTAAAAGTTGTTATTTGAAATTACCTTTAATTTAATTACATTAATTTTAGCTTCGATGCGAAGCTGAGAAGGTATTAATTTTACCATGATGTGTTTTTTTTTTTTTTATGTCTGTTGCCACTTTTTCTCAGCTCTCACCGAACGGATTTCTTTCAACAATACGTCAAAAGATCACAAATCGTATCTAGTTGAAGACATTACCCTTAAAAATTGAAAAGTTTCCCTCGTTCCCCGCAAATGGGGGAAATATCCAAAAAAATTACAAATTTAAAAATCGGTAAATTTTGTCATTTTTTTCACTTTTTTTTCTTAAAACTTCTATAACTTTTTCAAAAATAAACAAATCAACATAACTTTTTTTTATATTGAAACCTTAGGTAATTTCCTTTCGTTTGATATCATTTTTTTTTGAAAATCTAACACTTATTCTGCTCACAAGGGGGATTTAAAATATCAACTTTTTTTACAAAAACTAACTTTTTCAACTTAGTTTTTGAAAATGTTCCAGAAATACTGCGTCTTTTAAACATATATCAAATTAAAGCTCATTTTATGTACTATAAAATGAAAAAAAAAAAAAGAATCATTAATGGCCAGTTTTCGCACCTTACAGTTTTAAAGTTAAAATTTTAAGTTAAAAAACACAACCACAATATACACTACAATATTCTCCTCCACTGATTGTCAACACTTAACTAAACATGGAAAATACAAAATAATTTTACAAATAGACGAGTAATCGGAACGGCAATATTTTTCTACTTGTGCTAGTAGACGAACATTCAGTGATCTTTGTATATTCGACGAGTATACGAGTAGTCGGAACACAAATATTTGCGTACTTGAACGAGTAGACGAATATTCAGTATTCGTCCTATATTCGGCAAATAGACGAGTAATGGGAACCCGGCTTTATATGTAAACATCTAGAAAAATTGTTTAGTGCCCAACGATTAATGATAAAATCTAAAAGTTATTAATATAAAAACAACATTTGAAAAGTCTATTCATTATGTATATTACTTTTAGACAATTACATAAATGTGAATGCATCGAATAAAATTAGTTTTAATTAATTAATGTAAAATTACAGTGGTGGCTCGTGGGTGCTAGTGGTAGGAGTGTGACTTTAAGTATAATACCGCTAGTCATAAGTATAAGAAATTGTCAAATTAAATATAATACAATGAAACACAATACATATATTATTATTTTAAAGCTTAATATTTTATTCATAAAATTGTTATAGTATATTGTAGCATGTGTATGAATTTAAGATTATGTAATTAAAAAATAACTAATTTATGGAATTATTTTATGAATAAAATCTATCCGAATGTTGTTTGTTGATGAAAAATGTTCGATGACCTTTTTATTGAATTCTACATCTTTTGCAATCGTTTTACTTTTAATACTAAGATTAGGTAAAGCGTTTAGTCTGTCTTCTTCCATGATACTTCGTAAACAAGTTTTTATTCTTTTTAACGTTGAAAATTTGCGTTCAGCTTCCGACGGTGTCATTGGAATGACGACTAATAATTTAAGTAATTTAAGTACTTCCTTAAATATATCGCTCATATTATTTGTTAATATATAGTTAATTGTAGGAATAATTCTTTTTAATAAGCGAAAATCATCACGGCTATAAATATCCTCAAGTTCAGTTCTTAAACGTCCCTTTGTAAAGAAAGGATAGCAATTCAGAGTTTTTTTGTAAATAATCATTTGGGAATTTATTGTTAAATTTTTGGGTAATATTCATTTTAAAAAGGCAACGCTGTAGTTAGATTTTCATTAAAACTAAAACGATATTCTGCTTGAGTTATTAAAACATCACATACTTCTAAAGCAAAAATTATTTTCATAATGTTTGGGTCTTCACTAGTTTTTCTTTTATTTGAATGTATTATGTCTGATTAGTTTAAAACTGTTAAACAAATTGATGACATATTATCACGAATTTTAATTATTTCATTTACAAATAACACTGAAACCCTCTGTGGTGAATGAAAAAAAAATACTTTGAATTTCAGATATATTTGAAAAAAATATACAAACTTGCTTCTTTTTTGAAATTGATTGTATCATTATGAGATTCAATTGGTGAGCATAGCAGTGGATAAAAAAGGCGAATGGGTACTTTTCTTTTATCTTCATATTAACACCAGCTTTTTGAACAGCTGAACCATCATATGACTGAGCAATTAATTTATTAGGTGATATTTCTAGAAGAAGATTAATTGTACCAAAAATAGTTTGTGATAATGCTTTGGTATTATGTCCATTTGGATTCTCAAAACCCCAAAAACGCTCAACAAGTCGACCTTGTATTTCGTATCTTAATATAAAAACCAACTAAAAGATATTTGAAATATCAGTGGTTTCAACAACAATTATGAATATAAATTTTGACTGTTGAATTTCATTTACTATTTTATTTTGACATACTGCTAGAATAGAGTCCAACAAATCATTTTGAATTGTTTTGGAAGTTCCCCTAAAAACAATTGAATTTTCAAAATGATCACGTAAACTAGAGTGTAAATCAGTACAAAGGTCGAGAATTCCACGAAAAACACCCTGATTTTTTGAAAATGTTTTATCATCATGACCATGTTATGGTAATTCGTGTTTACCACAATATTTAATACAATAATTGTATTAAATTATTTAGAATCTTAATTAGAACGTAACGATTTTTATTTACTAACTCGTTATGGCGTTGGATACCTATTTTATAATCAATATCAATTTGATGTCTTATATCAACTTTGCCTAACAAATTCAAGTTTGTCGCGTTGTGAATATGTTTGAATGAATTTTCATGCTTACCAATTTTTGCATTTAGATGTTGCAAATCAGTGACTCCTATTTTAGTCCAAGCTGTTTCACCGCTAAAAAGTAAACAAGGAAAATAAAAAAGAGCTTGTTTTATTTCACATCCTCATAACCTTTCATTAAGATATAATGTTAGATTAAAATTCCGAAAATATTCAGTTTTTCATTTTTTATATTTAGTTTTTATATCTTTTAATTCTGGTAAAGGCCTGCCGTCATTTTTTATGATTAATTTCTGTTCAAACAATAATGAAGAGAATTTAATATTTATTAAATTATTAACACAATTCGACATTTTGAACTAATTAAAATTAAAAACAATATAGTTTATAGTGCAGGTCGCAGTAGAAATGAATAGAAATGAAAATAATAATAATAGCGATTATACTATTGTTGGAACCGATAACGACGAGCGTACAGGAAGTTAATTCTAAAAATAAATTACCCCATTTAGTAACAAACTAATATTTTACTGTATGGATGACGCTGCCGGTCGTACAAAACCTGTATATAAGATAGTAGCTAAACCGTAAAAAT